TCAATAAACTTTAGTACTGAATTTCTGACAAAGACTCTTGGAAAGCTTTTCTTCTTTTTCATTATTATCTTTATGAAAGTCAAGTACTAGCTAGATGGCTTTTTTTTGTTTTTGAAACAAGAGGTGTAGTATGTGTGAGTTTTATTATACTACCTCAGGGTGGGAGTTTTTTTGCTATAGTATTTAAGGGCTGTGATCAGTTATTTTTGCTGACTTTTGTGTATTCCTGTATAGTCTGTGGAGTATTTTCATGCATAAAGACTATTTTTTTCCTGTTTTCCCACTCAACTATTTCAGTGACTGATATTTCAGAGTGTTGTTTTCTTTGGTGACACGCATGCTGCTTCTCAAAAAATCTGTCCTCCCACTTTTTGCTTCAGCAGCACCTTCTATAAACGAGTGCATTGTTGTAACTTAAGTGCCCAGAGGAAGTGGTGGATGGGTAGTTGAATGTCTGGGGTAATTCACTGCGTGACAAACCATGGAATATTTTTGCTCTGTATTTTGAATGTGTTCAAAATCCACTACCCTGGGGTGCCAGCAAAAACCACTGTTTCTCTAGAAATGTCATCTCTCTCCACAGAAATTGTGTGCCTTGCAGACTCGTACTGTTTCAAAGCTGTAAACAGCATAAACTGTAACTCACCACCTTTGGAAAGCAGGTTGATTTATTTGGCACTCACTAGAGCCTGGCTGAATTTTACTTATTCCTGTGTCCCAAGTTCCATTTTTGTCATGGTGAAGTTTGTTACTCTTGGTTTAAATGAATGTACCATTTATTTTAGAAAGAATTCATGTGCTACAGTATCTTCATTAAATCCTCATGTGTTTGTCCAGGTGCTGATTTATTAAAGCTGACAAGAGAGGATCTGGTACAAATCTGTGGTCCAGCCGATGGAATTCGGCTGTATAATGCACTGAAATCCAGGTGATGTGCTGATTGTGAGGCTGAGTAGATTTAGATGGGGATTCTAGAACTGGGAGATTTGGGAAGTTAGTGTGGATGGGCCTTGGTGCCTGTGGGATCTGCCTCAGGAGTTGGTAGCAGTATGTTTAAAACTCTCCTCCACACCTCCAGGGCACGCCCAGGTGAGATGCAGGTGGGCTGTAAGGCTGCACCAATGCAGCTGGGCCCTGCCAGTTTTTTTGTTACAGATGGATTTATTGCCAAGACACAAAACTGGTCATTTGGGGAGCTAAGAACAACCTGAGGCCTTTTGAGGCTAGGTATTGCTAACACAGGCAGCATCCCAGGGGATGTCTGATTCTGTCTGAAATTGCCCTATTCTGGAAGAATTGCTGTTGTTACTCGGTAGTCCTGTTCCAGGAATCCAACATGCAGTGCCCTTAGGAGCTCTGAATGGATTGAAATCTTGTTTAAATTCAGCAGCACCTGAGACCACTTAGTTAAGAGATTAATTTAATTTTTTGGGCTCAGTGATAAAAACCATATCGAGTGTACTGTTAGCATAACAAACCTACAGTTGTGGCCTATCAGCCTCCGCGCTTGCAGCAGCCTTTTGTGTGACGTGTGGTTTCCTTGGCCGGCAGGTCCGTGAGGCCCCGTTTAACAATCTACGTGTGCCAGGAGCCCCTACGCAGCGTACAACTGGAACGCCAGGACGCGGGCAGCGCGGACAGCAACGGTGCAATATACGGTACGGCAGGCGGGCACGGCCGGGCGTACGGCACTCAAACTGCAGAGGCGGGCAAGGGCCGCCTTGCTGCTCCTGCTGTACAGAGCAACTGTGAGAAGCTGTGTCACAGCGATATTGCTGCTTTAACAGCACAGAGCAAGCAGAATCTGAAACCTCACAAGGTTAAGGCACTGAGCATTTTCAGTCCGTTGATAAAACTAACTGTAGTTGTATGGTCATGAACGAAGGAGCTCTGGAATCAGCTGTGCATGTTGTTGCAGACAAGGCATCAACCATATAAATGTAGGTGCACATAAAAGCTTCATGCAAATATAATTCTTTCCCATTTTCTGTTAGATTTTGCTGTCATTTTCTGTGCAGCTGAACTAAAATTGTAGAGCCTGGACAAGGAAAAACAGCCAAGTAGTGAATGCGCTCTTGATTTTAGTATTATTTTCCTGAGAACTGTTGATTCAACACAGATGGAAATGTAACTGTTTATTTGTAAATCCATGTCACTCTTAGAGTTAAGAGAATGGAGCTATTTAAAATTAATCCTTACTTGCTCTTGGCTTCAAGAGACCTCTCTCCCCAGCTAAAATCTGCACAGGCTACTTCAGTGGTGCTTGTGGATTTTCTGTGCAGGAACCTAGGTGGAGGAGGATCTGTAAATAAAATACTGCTGCTCTCAAATACATGTTTTCACTCAAGATATCTTCAGCCAGAAGAACGTGCTAACTTGGAGCTGCCAAGAGTTTCTTGCACTGTTAAATAAAGATATCGAACTGTAAATACAGCTTCAAGCTGAACAGCTACTTTGGCTTACTGTTCTCTTTGCTGTATTGCATTCAGCTCTGAGGTGATCTGTAGAAAGTTAATTGAGACAGTTGGAAAAGGCTTTATTTACCAAAAACCCAGAATCCGTATCTGTATTTAAAGCAGCAGCACATAAGTGGGATGTAGGTATTACCTGATTGTTTTGGGACTGCCTAAAATTACTTTCAAAACCATCTTTAGGTGACTCTCTTAAAGATCCATTTTAAAGTGTGTTTGAAATGCTTGTGCCTTTTTCTGCAGGATACAGGAAAAAATGTGGAAATTGCCTTCAGTCTCAGAGCAAATAGAAGCCTCCCCCATCACAGTTGTGTTTATGATTTTTCCCTGAAAGAAAAGTTAGGGCAGTTCATGCTTTTAATGAGAACAGGGAGAGCGTAAATTTAAAATTTTAGGTTTTAAAATTTTTCAAAGTATAAAGTAAACAAATAAACAAATTCAGATATTTTTCTTATAGCTATTGTTATCCATTAGTACCATGCTTATGTAAATGATTTTTTTCTTGTAGTTTATCATGCAATCTACTTAGAGGAGATGGCAGCCTCAGAAGTCACACGCAAGCTTGCTTTGGCATTTAATATTCCTTTGCATCAGATCAACCAAGTTTACAGACAGGGTCCCACAGGCATCCACATTCTTGTTAGTGATCAGGTAATTGAATTTATTTTTTTTTTGGCATTTTATTTATGACTGGAATGGAGGGTTTTCTTATGCTTGCTCATTTATTACTGGTTTATCTGTTTGATAATGCATCCCTAGTGTTTGCTGACATTTAAAGGTTTTTTTCCTTTACAATAAAAGGAAGGATGATACAATGAAAAGAAGGATTCTTTCAATGTGATTTTTCCTCTGCATGACTAAACTGAAACTATGAGAACACAGAGGTAGCTGGTTTATATAGCTCTGAGAAGCTGCAGCCATTATTTAGTGCATATTTATTTTGAGCACACCCAAAGGCAGAGAGCATTTAAACACTGTTGAACTCTGCTTGTTCAAGTGTCTGCTCCACAAGAGTCCCAAAAACACAGCCACGCTCCCAGCTGGTTGTCACAAGAGTAAAGAACAGTATTTTAATAGTAATGGATTTTAATTTGGTATATGCCTGTCGCTTGCTGAACAAAACCAAAAATACATGATCGCCCACAAAAGGCTGTGTTTAATATCAGGGTTGTTGAGGGTTGTTTTTGTTTCATTTTGGTCATACTCAGAAGGTTTTGAAACTGTTTTTTTTTTTTAGATGGTTCAAAACTTTCAAGATGAGAGTTGCTTCTTATTCACCACAATAAAAGGTATGTTGTCTTTTCTGACAGTCTAAAACTTAATTGTTTATTCCAGCAAGGAGCCTTCTTTAAAAATTGTAACAGTTTTGCATACACAGTGGCAGAAGATGGAGTTCTTCCTCTCCTAGCCAGATTTCAGCCTCTGTATAGCATCTCAGGCTCTTCTCTGAGCTTTCAATTCAGAACCAGTGCAGGATTTGGTAACAAACTTATGTAAAATTCAGTCAGCCATCACTGGACAGTGATGCTGCTAATAATTATTGAAAATGGTGAAGTTTCAAAATAGGTTAAAAAAAAATCAAAAATCTTGGGAGTAGTACTTCCGAAGTTCAGAAACTTGAATCTTGAGTCCTGAGAGTCAGCAAAACTGAGCATAACATTCTGTTCTTTCTCTGTTAGTCAACAGTCATCTTCATTCAATAGCCTGTTGTTGAATCCCACTCTTCCATAGAACTCCAATTTATTTCTGGTACAAGGTACCAGCAAATGGCTCTAATCAGGGGACAAGTTTGACTCTGCAAACTTTACTTACGGAAACTGTCCCTCTTTGAAGATCCAGTTACAAATCATAATTAATAACATTTTTGTTTAGCACAAGTGGGAAACCTTCGCGTTTTTGTTGTACATGAGTTTATTATCAAAGTCCATGCTAGAGTGTTTTGGTGCATTGGCTTGTATTTCTGTGATTCTGTTCAACAAAGACAGACAGACACTTCCTTTGGTTTTTTTTTCAGCTGAAAATGGAGAAGGCTTCCATATAATTCTGAAGTGACATCACACACGTGCTAGACTGATATTCCAATGCAGAATGAAGTCCTGCCTAAAGATTATGAAGATCATCCAAAACCTTAGGATCTAACTTCACTGTATAAGATGTTTCATATTGAAAACACAAAATGACCTTTCTAATGAGCTGTTTGATAGGTGAACTTTCTTATCACTGCCATAGCTAAGTGTCCTCATGAGAGGTATAATGCCATGACAGCTTCTGTACAGGCATGGAAGACAGTGTAAGCAAAGGTGCTTGCCCTTCACTGAAATAAGGCAAACTATGGCCAGTAGATACAGTTTATAGAAGTGAAGCTGTGCTGCTTTTCTATTACCTGTATCCAGTTGGAGATGAATGTAAACTTATTTTGGGGCATTTACCTTTCTGTGCCAGTTTGTCTATTACGTGCTTGTACCTTACGCTGGTTTTATTTTTTGATGTTAGCAGAGCACATGCTAATCTGTGTGGAGATGAGTAGTTACGGTGATAGTGATCAGGTTGTCAGGTCTTCGAGAGTAAAGCTGTCAAAACAGCTTCCCGTGTAAATTGTGTATAAGAGTGTATGTAAGAAGTGTAAATGCCAGAACAGGGCTTTTAAGAAGCCCTAGACAGATGCAATATATGCATGCAGCAAACTGCATTATCAATAGTACCTTATTGGAGGGATTAATATAAATCCTATGGGGTACCAAGTAATTGTGTTTTGCTTTAATGAAACTGAATTGCCTATGCATCCTTTATGTTTAGTTTCCTAGGTTCTCTGCAGAGCACTGCTGCAGTTTAACTCTTTGCTTGTAAAATTGTGGGTTTAAAAATAATGGCAGTGAGAAGTGGGGTTTTCAGTGGAATTATGCAGATAAGGGAAAATGACCCACTGGCACCACAGGGCTGTCATAGCTTTCAGCAGCATTGAATAAATTGCTTGAGAAACACTAAATACACACCCTGTAAGTTTCCTTGCCAGCAGGTGAATGCCCTGCTGGAGCTCCTATTCTGGACAAGTCTGCTCTTACCTTTTCAGTTGACCTTCCTGCACCCTCCATCCATCCATCCATACTGTACACCTGTTACAGTGCCTCTTCCATATGACCAAATATTTACTTTACTCTGAAACAGGCAATGTACTTTCTTGGTATTTTGGATGTGTCTTGTAAAGTCATGGCACAGCATTTCCTAGGCTAACATTATGTTCCAATTGGTCAAGTACTTGGGGGGGCGGTATTTCCAGAGGTATTAAGCGACAGTTTCAGAGCTGTTATTCTGTGCCTTTGGAAAATTCCAACTTGATCTCTGGCTTAAAAGCTTGGGAATAGTTTGCTTTTTATGCTGCGGTGTTCTGTGTAAACCAATACTACAGCATGTAAAAAAGCAACTTTGACTTTTTCATTTCCCCTTTCATAACTGGCTCAAGTGCTTAGCAGAAAAGCTTCTGAAAGCTGTAGCATTTTGAAAACTTAGATTTATCAAACCTAGCGGTTTTTTCCTATTTTTGGTTGTTTGGGTTTTTTTCTGCACTGAAAGTAAAATTTTATGTACTTACACATTTCTGCCTATAAGTTGTTCATCTTTGGGTATTGTTTGGTCCTAGTATTTTCCTGAACTGACACCTGTGTCTTTTTAGCTCACACCATATTCAAATCCAAATGTTTTATAAAAGTGGAAAAATCCTTGATTGGAAAGTATCCAAGTATCTAATTTTAAAGAATATTGAAAGTTGTACAGTAGTTTGTCCAGCTCACTTGAAATTGGAATTAAATTATGGCACCAGCAAATGGCTTTCGTTTTTTAATAAGATGTACACATTTCAATTTAAGTATAATAAATGTTTTTCGATAATTTTGTAAATGTGCTTTTCTTTTTGTTTACTTCTTTTTTACCCACACCCACATTAGAGACAGTCCATTGTTAAGATTTAGATTAATTGCAAGACCTGCCATAGCAAGAATCATTGGTCAAGGTAAGGAAGGGAAGTAAACCAGCCCTGCAGTATATCCCGAACACAGTGCATTCACATGGATCTTCTGCTTCTAGCAGAAACCTTGCTTAGATTTGAAATAATTCCAACAAATTCAAGTTTGACATCAGCTGATTGTTTAAGTGTCCTATATCAGAGTAGGTTCCATTTGTTTTTGTACATATTCAATGCAATAGACTTACAAGGTTCATTATGGTCATAGAAAAAAAAATGAGCCAACACAAGGCAACACATCTTGTCATATTGGTACCAATGACTGCCCTGGTACAGTTGAGAATAAAATCTAATTAAAACTCTCATTAGACCAGCAGTGTCTGAATGGAACTCTTGTGATTGTAACAGTACTCCACTACTATGCAAACGAAGTCCAGATTGGCATACTTTGTAAAAGTAAAGAAATCCATGTACTGTAGTCTAAGTTGTAATTTAACTCCAAAGCTGCGGTCTTAATTTACCGTCCCATCCTCTGTGAGTCCACACAACCCAGCCATTGCTGGCCACAGAAGTTCATGTTCACACTCACTCCTTTTGAGAAGTTGTTTAAAATTTGCAGGGGAGAAATGGCAGTACTGTCCAGTAGTAGCTTTTCCAACTGCTTTTTAATTTTCAGTAAACACAGGCCCGAACTCTTAAAATATATACACACACACACACACACACACAGAGTCAAAACTTACACAAAAAAAGCTTTCTGAATTGTCAAGTAGTTTCTCTCAGATAATTAAATTGCTTAATATAAAAGTTTGTCTAATCGTCTAGCACTGAAAAACTAAGGATGAAAGCATGGCCTTAAGAGTTAATACACATATTTTTTATCATCATTATTATTATCATTCAGAAGCTAACAGCTTCTGAACCAAATGTGAAGAGTTTGGCTTTCTACATTTGAAAACCACAGGTTTGGTATGGTTCAACTCCTGCCTACAGACTGATGAGCTCACATGCTTGTCCCTAAAATGGGTGGCCAAACTAAATTCCTTGCTCCATCCTGTCTTCTGTAGCTGAACCTGTGTTCCATTCATCTGTAGAAAAGCATGTGTGCTACACCCCTCCTGGAAGCACTGCATCCTTTCCTTCCAGCCCGCAGCGGTCCCAGAGGACGCGGGGATGGCATTAACGAAAGCACCATGGATGGCTGTGGCAGCAGGTACAGTAGAGTGCACAGTGGATTTCTCACCCCCGTTCAAGGCCGATGGCATCGGGCAGAATGTGCGTCGGCGATGAGCAAGCTTTGTACCAGCAGAGTTCAACTGAACCAAGTCCAAGAACTTGGGAAGTGTTTCTAGTTCTATGGGTATCTTGTGGTACTACTTTACCTTTTGACATTACCTATTATGTCCTGTTACATAATTAAATATGAAGCTGAATCATGAAAAGAACAAGCTGCTGTTTCACTGTAAGAGCTTATGATTACTTTGCATTTTTTGGTCAATATCTGCTAAAGCTGATTTGTCCTTAAAACCTGATGCTCGATCTGTGGTGTATATTACAGAACAGCAGGCTCAGTTCCTTGGTGTGGCAGCCTTGAGCCCCACGTTACAGCAGAACTTCACACCAAGTAGTGCTGACAAATGCAAATTAACTTCCAAGTTTTGTGAACTTCCACCAAGTAGCTGCTACGCTGCAATGCCCACATGTTTGACACGGTACTGCAATTCTCATGCCAACAGAAGGAAGGAGTTACTAATACAAACCAAAGCATCACCAACTTAATCCACATCTGCACATTACGTTAAGATTTTTACCTGGAAAAAAAAAAATGCTTTTCTGTCACAAAACTGGATGACCAAACACCACCATTAGAACTTGTCAGGAAACTTGACTCCTTCTGCTGACTTGCTGTCCCATTCTTCAACAACATTTTTTGTGTGGCTGCACTCACTGTCAGAGGATAATACAGCATCTGCAGAGGCGCTGTCCGCTCCCTCCGACCGACGGAGGGGGAGTTACTGGAGCAAAGTAAGCATGAACTTTCACATGAGGTAGGTGAGCCTGTGGGTGAAAAGGCTGCATTATAATGGGAGAGAAAAGAACAGAATTGAAAAGAGCACACCTCAACTTTGTGCTAGCAAGGACTCTCATTAAGGTTAGTTAGCTATGAAGAAAGCATCTATACAGTGGATACTAGCCAAGCTGTCTTCTCCTCACATGTACTTCCTCGTGACTATCTAGCTAAGGCACACCAGTGTCTGGGTACTCACACAGTGATCCCTCTGGTTCCCCAACAAAGCACTGATGAGCCCAGACAGCTCAGGAGAGGCACATGTTTTGCTGCAGAGTTGAGAGGGGTGGACTCTGAGGGACTACTGAGGGACAACTATTCAACCTTGTCTCCCATATTTCTGCTGCTGTTATCATCCTGGAAAGCAGAATGAAATAAAATTGTGCTTCTGCCTTCAATTTGAGTCACTATCAGGGATGATCTTTCCAGTTACAAAAGTGTTTGGATGCAAATTTGGGATACAAAGCCACAGACAAGTTTAACTTCAAGGCTAAAACGCTGCCTCCACAATGCAGGTGGTCCCTGACCTAATGGGTTAGATACTCAGGGAAAAGGTTTGGGGCTGGATTCCAGGGCCTGAGGGCCCTACAGCCCATCAAGTGAAATGTCCATGCAGATGTTTTACTATTGGCTCTGTGTATTAACATATATGTAGGATTTAGCATGCCACTACACCATCCTAAAAACAGAGGACTTTACTTGGAAAAAATACAGAAGGCAGAAGATAAGAGCTCAAGATTCCAACAGCAAAATGTCAGAAGTTAGAACTGATAATTACTGCTATTCGTAGAGGGAAGTTACACACATGGGGATCTAACAGAAGGACAGTCAGACAGTTTATCCAGCCTTCCTTGCCTGGACATCTTTAGGACTCCTACAGTCTCAAGCAGTACCAACAGCTCTGGCTTTTCCATGGGAACAAGCCAGGAAACACATACTCTGATCCGTTTGATTCCAGCTCGTGTGACTTGCTGACAGTCGTACAGCTCAATTCTCTCCAGGTTGTGGCAGTTCTCCAGGTGTTCCAGAGTCACATCCGTGATGAGGAGACAGTTATCGAGCTCCAGCACCTGCAGCCTCTCATGCCCACAAGTGCTGTTGCTCAGATGAAGAATCCCATCATCAGTGATCAGTTCACAGTGAGATAAGCTCTAAAATAGAGAAGCAAACAAGTAACGATGACATCCCTCAGTCCTAAGTTACTCGAGCCTCTGGACATCAGAAGTCCTCTTCAACCTCCTTCACTTCAGTGGTTAAATAGCTATAAATAGTACACAGCTGAAATCCATAAAAGTAAAAAAAAAGAAACTGCTTTACTTAACAAAATGGCTGTATTTGATTTTAACTTTGCTTCAAAATGAGCTGAGTCCCAAAACACATCACTGGCAAAACTCTTCAGGCCTCTTTGCTCTCTATGAATGTGGGAATTCTCTTCCAATTGTCCCACACACTGCAAACAGCACCGTGCCAGAAACAACTTTACAGGATGATCGAGAACATAAGGGAAGAGATGAGTATCTGCTCAGGGGTTACTGTTTCACAGCTGCCAAGTTCTCATACATACACCAGGACCAAGCCTGTGCAAGTCCACACAGATAGAGAACAATCAGAATAGACTGATTTGCCAAATAACCACCTCAGAGAAAAACAAGCCATGAACATTTGGCACCCCAGGCTGTACAGACAAGGAACAATAAACATCTTGTACAGCTGCAGGAGCAGTCTTTTCTGCACCAGTCAGCATATTAAACCAAAAAAATCTGCTCCTCTTCAGCATATTTTTTTACTCCCTTGAATTTGAAGAACATGGAAAATGATGTTGCATCTTGGGCAGTGGCACCACATAAAGCACTCTCCTCATTTCTTTAGGGAATTCATGACTTTTGGAGAAGCACGGATGATGACAACAACAGGAAACAGACATTCCTCAGAGGCGGCTTAAAAAACCCACTCTTTGTCACCACTGAAATGAATGCTCTCAAGTTTTCCCCAGTGAAATGTGCAGGATCTGTGAACTCTGCTCCTCTTGCCCTGGGCTCTGAGCTAGTGCCTTGCTTTATGCTTAGCCCTGGGTTTTGCCTGTACTTGTACCTACGTCTAACAGTGCCTGGTACTGAAATAGCATTTCCTTGCCCCAAGTTGTTTTTTTCACACAGCAACTGATGAAGAAACACTTGCAGCAGTCCAAAAGCACTTTTAAACTCAGAGCAAGCAAATAGCAGTGCTCAAAAGGACCTCCTGCCAATCCCCCAGCTCTAGCATGTAACTTTTCCCCTCTCGGGGTACAACACATCTTTTCATTCCAGTCTGACCAGGCAACCTGGGGACTTCCAACCTTTCTTCACCTCAGCTGCAGTCATGAGCATTTCCTTCCTGCTACCAGACACATGGGGTCTGTCCTGCTCTTTGAAACAATTTGCTTTCAACTTTTTTTGCCTTTGCTTTACAGAATGAACAGGGAACCCAAGAAAGGCTGGGAGACAGTTCTGCATCTCCCCTGGAGTCTGACGGGAGCCACCGCGGCAGCTTCCCTTCAGCTTCAGCTGATTCAATTTTACATGCCAGGTGTGAGCAGCCAGCAGGGACTCCAAGCAACACCACATGGGAAACTGTCTCCAAAAGACAGCAGAAATGATGCTCTTGCCCCTACCAACAGTGTTTTAACTCCTGCCACACATTCAGGCAGTCTCTCAAGTCCTCAAAGACATCAAGTCTCTCCTTTCTCTGTGTACGTGCTCTGAGCACTTGGTTTGGCTCAGAGCCTGGGGACAATCAGCAGCTGCGGGGTTAACCAACATTTCTAAGAGACCTGCTGTTCCAAGGAAGGACAGGAGGTTGTGTGAAGCTGCTGGCTAATTA